GAATAGAATTGCAAATAGATATTCCATATGAAATTATGTGAATTAATTTCAGTGCATTCGGCACCGTTAATTTAATTTTTTTTTTAATTAGAATTTAATTTATAAATGTGAATAAATTCTCGAAATAGTTTCGGATGAACAATTGAAAAAACAGTTGAAAAACAGTTACATTAAAATAATATATCTGTTGATATGGAGAGATCCTACATAAAGATTGATATCATGAATTAATCTGTTAAAAAATAAATTTAAATTAAATTGTTTGGCGCAGCTGACGGTTCTATCCTAACTCTTTTTCGTATCCTTCTTTCCTTCGTTATATATTTCTTAAAAATTATGAGTCACCAAAATCAGCGTTGTGATTGTTTGATGCTATAAAAGAGCGCGAAATTGTGAATTTTCGTATATTTTGAAATATTTTTGTTATATATTTAGATATATAACAAATATTATTATATATTTCAAGAGTAAATTCAATTTATGAATAATTAACATGGATAATAATCTACAAGAATTAAAATATGCTGTTAATAATTTGTTCATCGTTTGAAACCCTGTGATACTGAAATCAATATTATCGTATAAAAATTTGCTAGAAAGTGAAAAAAAAATAAAATAGAGGAGAATACAGTTTTATCTTTTGTACATTATAAGTTAAAACGTATGAGAGCAACGGAAACTGATCATTAAAAATTAATCCCGTTAAGTTTGAAGAATATTACTCGGTGTTTTCGTTGACGCAACTAGAAGCTATGTTTTAGTATAAAGTCAAATATTCCAAGAGACTTACGATTTTGAAAAGTAGGTGGCCACAATGGATTATGGGGTTTGCACTATTTAATTGCAAGACGGAGTATTGATAAACACAGAATATATCCAAGTTTATTTATGATATTTTGTTGAGCTTTTTGCATAAAATATGGTTGTTCAGTTATTCGCGGTTGCACATTAAAAATATTCTTATTACTTAAATATCTTAAATTAATCTGAAGATTATTCGATGCATGTTCCTAGTTGCATAGGTTTTCATTCGAAACTCCGGAAGAAATTACAAGTGCAATAATTTTTTTCATCACGTCATACTTACCGATAATCAACATAGAGAGACATTACGATTGAAAATGTACATATTCAATATGATTAGATTCTCAATGCATACAAAAATTGAACGTCTAAGCCGTCATTTTAAAAAATTTGGCGATTCGCATTGTCTATAACCGCCACGTGTCTTATAAGCATAGCGAGTGAAATAATTTTTTGCAGGCGAATCAACGTGCTAATCAAAAAGCAGCGCGAAACTGATGCGTTTGCGTCGGAACAATATCCAAGCAACATATCAACGCACGGTGCGCTCTCAAATCCTAGCAATGCACAAGCACAAAGCCGCAGCGACGAACGAGAGCTGCGGCAAGCAAATCGAAGCCGGAGAATAGAAATCGAAAAGCGATGGGGTCGCTATGGTAGTGGTAGTAGGAGGGTCTCCGTTATATAGCCGCGGGTTATATCCCCGGAATCAGCTGCCAGATTATTCTATTACCGCGTATCAACATGGGGCCTGTTTGGTCTGAAAACACACGCCAACTCACTCACATTGTTTCAACGCTCAGATAAAGAATTTAACGTTCGGGATAATTAAAAGGCTGCCGCGAACGCGCAAGTCAAGTGTTGTTCTTGCTACTGCGCGAGTACGCAAAAATCTACCACGCCGTCGTAGCCTGAGTGAGCAAAAGTTTGCTCTGTTGGAAAGACCGAGAGGCTTCAAGTGCCGGCCACACGATCACAAAGTATTTATTTTGAGAACGTGAAAGGATGAATTATTAATTTCGTCAGTTTCTGTCTTTAATAGTTTAGATTGAGTTGTGGCTTAAAAAATTTTTGTTTCTAGTAAATGTTTATTGGATGGTATAAAAAGTATGAAAATATTTTTTATTACTGAATGAACATAGAATTCTCATTTCTATATGATTTCTGAAATATCATAAGGTTAATTGTTAAATGGTATACCATTTATTTCAAAGGTCAAAATTAAAATAATATATTCAAATAATTTAATACAAATGGTCATATCTATAATTCTCGTCATCGTACACGATTGTCTAAGCGTTTTATACCTGCACTGAAGAAAAATGAATAGATTTAAAAAATAGACGATAAAGTTAAATTGAATAATATTATGCACTCGCATGCCTGATATTATTAACGAATAGAATCCAGTCTTTAGAATTTTTTTCGATCAGATTAAAGGCAGTAAAATAAATTTATAACGTTATTTTTTAAACTAATATTTCGTATGCGTTGATCAATGATATGGTAAAGATTGATCGAGAGATAAATGATGATATGTCGAAAACAATAAACAGAAGTCGATTTATAATGTTTACATGGGTACCATATTGATCCGTTTATTTGTATATTCGATTCTTCTTAATTTTCATGCTACACCTATCAACGATCGCTGCCTATATGCAACTTTGTCGGTTTAAATGTAAAGATCTAAACAAGCATATTTTTTATATTGAACAGAGTGATAAAAAATCATTCAAAATATATTTGGCAATATGTCTATATATATGGCATACATGTATTAATTTGTTGTTAATTTGATTATCAATCAATGCGTATATTATCGAGGCACGGATTAAAGTTCATTAATTTATATAAATAACAATAGCAATTTTAAAAGTAACCCCTATATAAATCCCCCTGTAACGAAAAAAAGATCTTTCAAATAATCCTCCTATATAAAAAAAGAGGATGGACTGGAAAGTGTCACATTTTATTCGTGATGTAATTAGCTGAAAGGTGGTCACGTGTGATAAATCGTGAAGTTCAAATATATGAAATAGAAATGTTTTGTAAATAAACTAACTTTCCAATTGCAAACTGTAACTGACTAACGACGTAAATATATATATTAACATTAAGCCAAATATCAAGTAATTATTTAAATAATTATTTTGTACGAAAATGATAAATTAATTTGGATTTTTTAACTCGAAAATCTTAGCAAACAATCAATTTTAAGTAGGTTTATTCATTTCTTCTTAACCGTAAAAGGATAACTAAAGTTTGCTGTATATAATATTAAGTTATGAATAAGATTACACATCAATAAATATCTTAGGAAGTAATATTATTTATTTAATATTAAAAGTTAATAGCTGTAAAATTTTTAAATTGTGTAATCGTATATGTATTTCATCGTGTATTGGAGTATTTAAGTTCACTAAACTGTTGGTTTATAAACAGCCTGTAAGTTGACATGAAAAAATGAAAAAGACGTGTCTAGTAATATTAATATTAAAGCAAAATGATAAAAGGTGTACAACCAACTGAGAAAAAAAATTAAAAGCATTGAACAATGAACAAGTCATTAACCTGGCGTTGGCAAACATCGTTATATAGTTAAAATGAAAAGTAAATAAAAAGCGTGGTGAGCGCGCAGGTGACATATCGGGTCATCACATGAAATCATCGTTTTCCCTGCTCAGCCATATCTCCGTAGTAACAATAACAATGCTCGCCGCGTGACGAGGCAAAGCGGTAATTAAAAGAAAATTAATTGAATCGGGCTGCGCGGGCGCGCGAAGCAGAGTGAGAGCTCGTGTATTACAGCCCGAGGCGACGTCGGTTTTCTGCGTTGCCGCGCGCGCACAGCATGTAATACAACGATACACACGCGGTATGTTTACATTGCATACGCGAGAGCTGGCGCTTCGCGATTATTCATCGCGCGCTGTCGGATCTACCCGAAACCATAATATTTCAATCGGACAACCGATCAAAATCAAACTAATTAGATATGCGCTATGATTTCGAATTTCCACCGCCGCGAAATAATTTAAAGTTTTGCGCGCGCAAAACTATAAATTTCATTCTTTTTCGCTTTCATTCGAATAAACGACGATGATCAATGCTCAAATTAAAATTATGAAAATGAAGAAGAAGATCCAAATGCGAGCGGCCAGTTGGCAAATTACATGCAAAATGCAAACAAACGAAAATTAATTAAAACGCCAGAATGCGACGTATACAAGTCAACCAAATTGGCACAAAAAAGCGGAGTAATAATAATGAACGGCTTTTAATTAGTGTGTAGCTCTGACTTACGTCGCATTTTTCCAGAAACTCTGTTGCGCATTATACGCTGATGTAATTTGCATCGGCTTTTTTTGTTCTTTCATTCGCAACCGAACGAGTTACGCGCAAAAATGAGCGAACGCACGTTCAATCGCTCACTCTGGGCAAGCATTTGATTAAAGTTTTAAAATCTTTGTCCAAGGCACTTTCATTCGCTCCCTGTTCTTCTCGCTAAGCGATTCCAAACTTCACTTTTATTTTTATACGTCTTCGGTGCTCTGCACGTGCAAAAAATAGTAAAAAGGGAACTGCGTAATTTATCGCGACCCTCGCCAAATCCAATAATGACGCTGAAAGAAAACGTCGCGCGGACTAGCTTAAGGTTTCTGCAACGTAATTTTATAAACACTTTGGTGCTTCACTACGTACTCGGCTTCTGCGTGGAAAATAATTAGAAAATCACGCGGCGCAGGGAGCACCACCCCTACATCGAGAGAGAGAGAGAGAGAGAGAGAGAGAGAGAGAGAGAGAGAGAGAGAGAGAGAGAGAGAGAGAGAGAGAGAGAGAGAGAGAGAGAGAGAGAAAGAGCCCTTTTATGTTGCACAGCTTTAGTACAGAGAGTTTTAAACTTGAACGGTTTCACCAGAGACTGAGCTGATTTTTGTTTTTCTATTGTTAGCCGCGTAATTAGATTTCCCTGAGCACGGCTAAAGTTATTTATTTTGAGTTTTCTATTGCTACGGTTGTTCTTACCTTCGTTTTTTTTTCTTTTTTGCTTTCTCGTGATAACTAACCTCAACCTCCTTTCTCGAAATCGACAGTTAACCTTTCAGTAAATTGTAAACAAACAAAATTTTCAGTTTGGCAAATAACTCAAAATTAAAACTTTTCGAATTCGACCATTCAAAACATTCATCAAAATGAGCGGATCAGTAAAGTTGGCCAAATCAGTAACATTAAAATCCAAAAAATCGAAAAACAGTTGCGAGAAAACAAAATCTATCAAAGGCCTCAAACCAGACTGCCTAAGAGCAACGAAATCTGTTAAATCGGAGAAACTTATCGGTGTAACCGACATCGACGGTGAGAATGAAACGTGCGCGGTGCCCAAAATAACTCGTCCGTACAGGCCAAAATGGAATAAATGTGCGAATCAATCACAATGGGATTGCAAAAACGATTCTCTATGGCGGTCATACATGAAAACGTAATCTACAATGAACGAAGCAAGTACTATTTCGATGCTTATGCATTGTAATTCAACAGATTAACAGCCGACGCGAGTAAGCGTATCGCAGAACAGAGAGAAGCCAAATGCTTGTATCCCGATAGAAAGCGCAAGCAATTTGACGTTCCGTGCTTGCCATGCCCCCCCAAGTTATCGTTTCGTTACGAGCTGAATGCTCTGAACCAAGGAAGACGAATTATCGATGTTTTAGGACCAACTACCGCTGGTGTTTGGGATTCCTTACGTGATCCACGATCGGTTAGACAAGCAGCCGATTGAATATTCAATTTCTATTAGTCAGGCGATTGAATTTGATATTTCAATTCACAGTGCATTGATTCTTCAAGTGTCGCAAGCAGTGAATTCGACTGGCCACGACTCTACCCGTGCACAACTCGGGATATAGTTAAAGAACGAAAGATCCTCGCTAGAAGAGTGAAAATGAGGATGTTGGGCGCGTCGCCGTGCGAAGTCGACGAAATCGATTCACCAGGTTACAGATCCATCGCGAAAACCACTCGATCGACGAATAATCCGTCGGCTCGGTTTGTTTTTTCAGAATCAAGCGAGGACGAAATGCAACGAGAACTGGCACATCAAAAGGAGCTCGGCCTCGCTCGTATTCCATTCACCTATCGCAAAGACGACGATCCCCAGCTCGTCGATCGTGACATTGGCGATACGCCAGGTCTCGTCTACGGCGACTACGTGATTTTTCAATTAACCTCGCAAAAATGTGGCGACAGGACTTACGCCAACGTCTGCTTGAGAGGAACGACGGGCATGCATCTGGCTGAGTTGGGACGTGCTCGAGAGAAAACTTGGAAATTTTGCGTGTTCCAAGCTCTTGTCGCTTTACTCGCGAAGACTCAGCTTAGGTACAAATGCGACTCTACTTTTTTAGAGACAACGCTTTGACTTTCTCTTCTGTTGCTCAGGTATAAATACGTGTGGAGTGCTAATGTCGATTACATCTACAATCAGGCTTGGATGATTTTTCTGCACGTCGGCTATTTGACTCTGAGAGACACTCAGCGATTCGACGATGTGCTAGTTTACAATTACAAATATAGCGTGGAGCTGCAACTCGTGCACGAATTGAAAAAAGTGCGCATTGTGCAAGACGTAACTTTCGACTACTTTGAGAAAACGATGAAGAAAAAACGACAGTTGCGGAGGAAAGAGATGACGTTGACGAAAAGTAATTTCAGCACGGAAAAAACGCGCGACGAGTATGGTGCTACCGTGCACAGGGAAACTAGGAGGATTGAAAAGTGGTTTGATAATTTGGATGACGTATACTCGAATTGTATATTCAGGTAAAGATTTGTTAATCATTCGTGAACTTTTACTTCACGAAGATCAAATTATTCGTCAATGACAGAACGTCAAGATTCACACTGGCATTCTGGAAAGACGGTAGCTTCTGGTATCTTTACAACCCCTACCGTTGCGACGAATTTGGCTTCTGGAATGACGACGGTTTCGCATGTTTCGTGAAATTCTGCTCGCGCGACTCGCTCAAACGTCATCTAGTTATTCTAACGCTCCGAGCTTACGCATACGAATGCGAGGTGCAAAATACAGACGATTATTACTCGGAAAGTGTGACGACAAAGTCGTACGCGAGCTCAATGGGCAAGAGAAAGAGATTCACCTTACAGATTTATCAGTTGATCTATCATTCGTGTCACATTCATAATGTGAAGTTATTGTTGCGCGAACCTCGGAAACCAAAGCCACAGCTCATTGAGAAGAAGCAGAGCGAATTGTGTACCTTCGATCCACTAGAAGAGGTGAATCCTTGCGATGAGCCAAAGGACGATATAAGTGATGTAAGTTTTTTTTATCATTGCAAAAAAAACATACGCGTTTTTGGGCTTACGATAAATTGTCATTTTCAGATGGAAAAGTTTGAATGGCTAGAAGATGAGATCATCTGGGCGAGATACCCAACACCAGCGAAGCCACGCTGCGGTCCGGGAGCCGATAAGCTACCGAAATGGCATAATTACGAGATAGTCTCATCGAAGAGGCTTTACATTCTTTGGGGCACGAAGCATATCTTACAAAAGACTTTCCCCGAAGAGAATAGAGGCAAGCAAGCAGCTACTTGTTACGCTGTTTGCGCAGGCATGTGTTTGATTAACGCACCCGAGTTCTGGGACGCAGAGACGCTGGATGACATTGTTATTTGCGGCGACAAGTGAGTTTTTGGCGATAGATGATTGAGAAAGCGCGTTCGATGAAACCGTTGATTGCAGGTTTTACAGCGAGCGGTATGGAAAGTTGAAAGAAGTATGCGTTAAGATTATCAAAGGCAATCTACCGGTAGACGACTGGGACGAGCGACCGACTGATAAATTCCGAATCGGCAACATGACGTTTGACTTAGAAGCTAAATCGGCTATTCACGGCCGACTATACTTTAAGAGCAACCGGTGCCTCTGGCAGACTCTTCAGCGATTCTTCCAGAACAATACTTTTGGCGTACTCACGTGCGAAAGTGCTCAATTGGCAGTTTTCAAACACTACGGTGTTTATTTCATGCTGGACGTTGCGTCCTATGGTCCACCAATTTTCGAAAGAGGCGCGGCTATGGCGTACTTGATACGAGCTACTTGTTTCGTCGATTTCATGAAAAATTTAGTGCTGGTGATTGGCGCACCCGAGTGTTGCAAATTCACTTTGAGACCAATGGAGATCGTCGATACTGTGGATTTGAGTGACGTTGATGAGTGCGGCAGGATTAGGTGGGAAAAGTGCGAGGAAAAACCAGTTGAGCTTTTCAAGCCGATTTGTCCGACAGGTAACGATAAGAAAGGCAAGAAAACGGGCACTAAATTGGCGGGTGGCACGAAGACTTTTGATCAGACTGCTTGCGTGGAAAGAAGTTCCAAATCTACGTGCTCGGAAATAGTTTGATAAAGTTTATGCAATTTTGTAAAATTATAATTAATAAAAAAAAAAATTGGAAATGTGAACGTATCGATGTGATACATACAAAGTACTGTTGTTAGAGTAGTGAAATAAAAAACAGAAGATTTGTTGTCATACGTGCGAATATTAGCTGTTTGTTTCAATATCCAGTTATCGATTAATGATCTGAAGATACTCAAAGAAGTGCGTATCGTGTAATAGAATTGTGATTTTGAGTGAATCATCGTGCGATGAATTTTTCTAACTTGATCATAACGATGAAACGCTCATAGTTATTTTGACACTTTGCTCAGTGGCTCAATGAAATCATTAAACTCAAGATCGTGGCAATAAAAAATTTTTTTTGTCATTATTCGCACTCATCTCTAACCGTGAGCGTAAAAGGGCCACGATCAATTTCGCAGAGTAATATTGTATTTCTCAAAATAATCTACATTAAGCCGCCGAAGGTCGTGGGAGCGTCGCTACTTGTGAGTATCTAATTTTCAATATAGAACAGCTGCAAAACGTGAACAAGTCCGCAGCCTAACTATGAAAACCAAAAGAAAAAAAAAGAAAAAATATCCAATTCACAGCACAAGCCACTCGAGCCGTCGCACCTTCCTTCCGAAAGACGAAGCACGCGCGCGGCAGTGTGCAAGTCCATTCGAGAATATAAGCCGATTACAATCTGGAAGAACAACCAGCCGCGTAGAATGGAGCCAATTGAAAGAAGAACGAAAGAGAAAAGACGAAAGATAAAAGGAAGAAGAAGAGCGTCCGCGGAAGCATTGTCCCGATCATTAGCCGTCTTCGCAATCTACGTCACGATCTGTTCTTGGCTGAGAAAATTAGTAGATAGATGCTACCCCACTTGCCCGAGAAAGCCTCACCTCATTGAATCACAATGACTTCTGGCGGCAAACATAATCCACTTTATGCCACAGCAGCAATGTACTCCCTGCGGGCCTTTATTACAGACTTAGGCGCCCCAATCCTTTTGGCGAACTTCAGCCACTTCGCGGCCGCCACCGCCAGCGCCGCGAGGGACTTGACTATACACGACACTCGCCACGATGAATGGACTAGTTTCTCGAGTTGTGCTGCTGTGTGGGTTAAATGACAAGGCGCTTTTCAAGCTGATTTGACCCTTTTTCCGACAGGCTCAACGAAGCCAGTTAGTTGAAAAGTCTTTATGGTTCAAGGAATTTCTTCGCCAAGAATAGGTTATTTTTATTTCTTATTATAACCAATTTTTCTTCCCTTTCACCCGCGAGTGTTTGCATGAGAAGTTTCGAACGAAAGTAAAGTTTGGTATTGATTGACACAATGCAAAACTTTTATTCGAAAGACATTTAGTTACTATTTAAACCAAACCAAATAAATAAAATGCAGATAGTTAATATGTACGATTCATTTCAGTTTTATTACGTGCACAAATTTCTTTGAAAACATATCGAATATAAAAAGAAGCTCCCTATTTTCCTTTTGTAGTACGTACGTGTCTGTTGAATGACTTTCCATCGGTGGGAACGGAATGATAAAAAACAATAGTGAAAAATTCGCTGTCACTGGTAATTTGTTAATACTTCGTTCTATGACTTATAGCTCGCTATTATACACACTCAGCGCACAACCGTATTTACAAAACATCGCATTTATTTACATAGTTTCATTCTCTCACTCTCTCTCTCTCTCTCTCTCTCTCTCTAACTTACTAAACTTGTGTTATATATTTACACACTCAAAAATTCGATCGAGAGAATTGCACATAGATTAAAAATCGATTGGAAACTCGCCACATTGTAGTCAATTCTCGACGTGATACAAAAAAAGGATCCGCTTATATTTTTCTTTTTATTTTTTTTCTTTTTTGGTAGCACACATATCGCACGTGTATTTTTTTCTTTCTTCGTTTTCATTTGGCAATCGAAACGGAAAAAACGTAAGTTTCGAGCGCAATTGAGAACGCGTGTGCGCTATGCATGTAGGAAAACGTTTTCTTTTTTTTTTCTTTGTCGTGGAAATGACTGATTGTCGAATGTGTAATAGATTTTTTCTCTTTGATGTCAATGGTTCCTAAAAACACTTTGCTATAATAATTTTTCTCTAACTAGAAACAAGAGATCGCGATAAAAATCGATATATAACTTATGATTCGCAGTCCAAAATTCATTATATACAATTATATCAATTTCATCTCTCTGAACGCAGATTCTTTTTATTCAGTCTGGATGCTTGCCACTTATTTTCAGAGAGCTATAGTTTTGGCATTAAAAAAAAGTAAGATTGCTCTCTCGAAAGACAAAGCTTGTGTATTATATGTATATACGTCGCTGGGGAGCCCGAATGTTTTTTTTTTAACTTCAGGGTAGTAACGTGCCATAGCGTAGTACGGATCGAAAGAAAAAGGAATAATAATATAAATCACCGGAAGTTTAAATCTCTCATGATTTAGTATAATCAACAACCCCGAAAACAGGAAACGAATAACGCGGGGACACTGCGGTGAAGGGACAATGGATGAATGGAGTAGCATTGTTCGCAGACGACTACGCCACCTCGAGGTCCGAGCTATCGGTATCTTGTTCATTGTGCTGCTGTCGGCTGGTTACCAAATGACCCGCCGACACTCGTAGCGAATTGACACTAACGGGATCCGGGGTCGCCGAGCTATTGGCACGCGTACGCTGCTCCATTTGGAGTTTGCGCAGCCTCTCCTGCTCTTCGCGCTTCTGCTTGCGCCATTTTGCTCGTCTGTTCTTGAACCACACCTGCAGCAGATAACATAAATACCAAATTTTATACAAAACTTCCACGCTTACTCGTTGTTTCTCCGAGCATTTCTCATTTCAGTCGACGATTTTAACCATTTTTCATGGATTTTCGTATAATACTTCAGCGGGTAAGTTCGAAGAAAGGGAAATTCTGAATTCGAACGAGTATATTAGACTTTCCTACGTATGCTGTCAACGTTTCGTTGACATTTAAAGAAAGTGTGCATGCGATTCAGAAACATCCAAGTGCGCTTAATCTAATTTTCTTATCGACAGTTATTAAAATCATGCATAAATGCTAGAGGGATTTTTATGAGATTTCGCTTCGCGCAACCAGCTAAGGAGATAAAAGCTTGTTCGTTATTTACTTCATCATAGCTGCTATCGAGATCTTGCATTAAAATCTTGATAAAACAAATAAGATTTAAGAGATTCTAATTTTTTTGGTGCGAGTAATTTTTCGATCGCAGTAGCAGCTGATATTTTACAAGCAATGTTGAAACTGTAATTAAATAGTTACGAATAATGGAATTAGACGAACAATCGTCTCCCGCGAGAATTTATTGATCGTGATCCTCGGACATTCGCTCAATATTTGCGCAAATGTAAACACAAGCTGCACAAGCCTTCAGTATACAAAAAAAAAATACGAGGCACAGCGTAACTCATCAAAATCACAAAGCAGTCGTAATATCTGCTGCGTATCGCGGAGTGTCATCGTCAGCGAGCTTTCATCGAATCACACGCCGTGCGTGTGCACGATTAATGCTATGCGCCGAGGGGTCGTCGTCGCCGCCCTGAAATCGATTCGGACAGGCGTGAGGAGCGAAGCACCGTTTACAATTGCGTTTTGAATTTGCGCGCGTCTTCTTTATTCTATTTTTGGAGCCTCCTTGGTGTTTGCTTTTTACGTAAGATTCTTTGCTAGCGTGAGATTTTTGTTCTTCCTTTGGGTTTCGGCTTCGCGCGCGACAGACAAAGAGAGAGAGAGAGAGAGAGAGAGAGGCTTTTCTTTGTATTGCAAAAAGGGATCAGAAAGTTGAATGGTGTAGAATTAATTATCCAGTTAGGATTTGAATGCATTGTGCATGGTATTCTGCATCGAGATGCGTAGAATATTTAAATTGTAATAAAGCTCATCGAAATACATACTTTAGAAAATTATTTTTTTTTTTTGAAGATTAGCGATGACCCGTTCGAACCGGCATTTAAGGCAGAGAAATAAAACACGGAGAAAAAAAGAGCTAGAAAACCAATCGGCAGCGGATTGTGGCATTCGGTCGCACGATTTTCCGGCTCTTTCGCACTCAAGTTTGTATATCTCGGCAAGGCAAATACACGATTATGTTTATTCATAGAGAAGGAGATGCTTGCAAGCAGGGCGCTCTCCCTCTCGCTCTAACTGGATATTTACGAAGGCTTCTCTCACTCGGGTAAACAGCATCGCTCGGCATGGATACTGTGTTGATTTATTTATTTTTTTTTTCGTACCCTTGAACGTTGCCGCAGTTTTGTGATTTCTATATATTCCGATTCCGTGTGCTCGCGGTGTGAAAAGCATAATAAAATTATTTAAGAGAAAAAAAGCGAACGACGACAATGCTGGCACAGCAGCGCGCAAGAGATCGATGGCAGAACGTTAAATGAAGCATTAAGTTGAAATAAAAGAAAGAGTTGCTGTTGCTGCTTGCTATGAACATTACCACGGGATGTACATATACCACTGTTGACTCAACCTTCAACACCCGACAATTTCCCAAAAAAAGAAATATCTTAACAACTCCCACACTATATCTTAATCCAACACAAGACAGAGAAAAAATCCACCTGACTAAAGGCAGTAACTCAACCCTCGAGTCGTCTTATCTTTATTTCTCCCTTCGCTCTCCAAGTCGAGCGTCTTACTAATTCTTAGCAAACACTTTTACGGGGCAGGTGCGTATGTGTGCGTTGGGAAAGGGGGGATTTTTCCTTCTCGCTCCTATGTCGCTTACGCGTATACGTAAAATACACACGGGTGGTCCCCCGTAAGATTTTCCCTTTGCCGCGCGAACGATTATCTTCGTGTTGTCGGAGGTGTCGACGCCTCGATTCTTTATTTTCTCTCTCTCTTTTTATTCTTTTCTTATGCGTGATTGGATTTCTTTTGTGGGGAGATTGTCCTTTGTGCGTATCTTTTTCTCGGGAATTCGTGAATATGCGCGGCGAACGATCCGACGGCAAACGGAATAAGCGTCGAATCGAAGTTTCGCCGCGGCAAAGCGGCGACATTGTCGCGGATCGGTTTTGTCCGTTGTTTACCGCGACGCGCGACGGCGGCGGGAGAGCAGGCCGACGCGTAATCTACAACTGAATAATAAACGTAATCGGTTTTGCCCGAGCGAATTGCGCATTGCGCCGGTGAAAGCTTTTAATCTAGCGCCGGGGCGCGACGTAGGAAACAATAGCTCGAAAACAATGGCCGGGCTTCGTCGATAATTAATCGGCAGGCGAGAGGCCGCCTCGGCAAAGTCGGGCGGTGGAGAGTCGTCAATAGGAAAATTGGAGGAGCGCGAGCCAGAAATATTTAAAGGCAATCGAAGAGCAAACGCGCGGCGCGCTCGGAGTTCTTTCGGCCGGCTCTCACGAGGATGACAGAACAAACGACGGAGGCGAAGGCCGCCCGGGCGCAGACGACGCAAATTGCTTCCTCGCTCTATAAGAGTATTAGGTTTCGCTCGATCGTCACGCACAATTAAGTATGCACGCGTGTGTGCCTAGACGTCGTCGGCTTCAAATATTTGGCCTTTCCCTTGACTTTTTATCGTCGCGATGCGATTGCTTAGGACGAATCGACTTACCTCTATCCTCTCCTCTTTCAAGTCGACTTGCAGCGCCAATTGCTCTCGCAGCAGCACGTCGGGATAGTGGGTCTTGTCGAAAGTCGCCTCTAACTGCTCGAGCTGCTCCTCCGTGAATATGGTCCTGTGGCGTCGTTTGCGTTTTGCCATCGGCCCAACGCCCGGCCCGCCGTTCGGGCTCAATTGATAAGGGTGCGCGCCGTGATAGAAGCCCGGCTGGCTGTGCAAGCCCGCCGCTGCCATTGCGGCCACGTAACTGTTGGGATAGAGGCCGGGATACGCTGCGGCTGCAATCACAAGTCAACGCAGTCGTGCATTTTTAAGCCTCGTCCTGAGCACCGCCAAATCCAAGATATTCCGGCACGGCGAATAACGCTCGCACTCTCGTTTTCCCAACGAGCTCCCGAATGAAAAATAAATGCAAAGTACATTAAGCCCCGCGAAACGATTTAACAAGAGGACAAAGACAAAAGAGAGAGAGAGAGAAAGGACGAAGTAAGAGACGAGCGAGAGAATTCCCAGGCGCCGCTAATAGTAGCCAAGAGAGAGGGTGCGCCGTCGTCGGGAGGACAGTAGCAAAAGAAAAATATCGAGCGCGCATAGTCGCGCGACTACGACGACTATCCCCGGGGACGTGACACGAGAGAGAGAGAGAATGAATCATGAGGCTTGTACAAAGCTGCTTAAAATCGTAATGTTGCGTTCGCTACTCGAGCTCTCTCTTCGACACTCTTGCGGGGAACGAGATCGCAATTGAGAGTAATGCCAGGTCGCGGACGCGTGCGTGCTGACAACGCAACGAATAATAAAAGCATCGTGACCCCCGGGTGAACAACTTCGTTTTTGTTTTTTTCGTAAAAAGTGGTATTCACTCCGCCGCGAGAGAAGACGGAATCCCCGGGGATTTCCGCGGAAGCCTTCTTTTCTCGTGGCAACCCACTTCGAAAATGCCTTCGCTAGCTCTCGCGGCTTACGCTTGCGGAATCAAGGAATTTCGACGCGTCTTGTCGACAGCGAGCTGTTAACGGAGAGAGAGTGCTTTAAGGAGATTTTTTTTTCTTTCTCCTTTCCCCGAGGTGTAGAGATTCTCGCGGGAATTGTCGTTGGCGCGTGGCGATGCGTAAAAAGAAATCGCGATAGGCCGCCCCAGACGTCCTCCTTCGCTCCGGCCGAGTGTTCGGCGTCGAGCTTACGGAAAAGGGTGGCCGAGGATTACGCCGCGAGCATCTTCGCTCGGCCGACGGCGAGAGCCGCGAGCCAGAGTGGCGCCGGTGCCGAGCGCCGAATGTTCTCGAGTTATCGGACACGATCGTCGCGAGTAGAGCGCGATAGGATGACTCACCGAGGAAATCCGCAGACGTGAAAGCCAAGTGATGGAGCTGCTGCTGGAGCGGGTGCACACCGGCGGCGGCCGCCGCAGCGTTCCTCGCGTTCACGTTGACCTGAGCACTGGCCGCCGCCGCAGCAACGGATGCGGAATTGCTGCCGGCGCCGGCGTGATTATCGGCGCCCTGAAGCGCGGCCAAACTGGCAGCGGCGGCGGCGGCGGCCGCCGCGGCAGCGGCCGGGATATTTCCCATCGGCCGCGGCGCCAAAATACTGTCGATGGTAAACAGCGAGGTCGCCGAAGTGGACGCGCTGCTGCCGCTGCCGCTCACCCTCGACGAGCCGTTGTTCCCGCTGTTGGACGACAGTCTCAGCTGGTTGTGGTGAAGGCGATCGGGCGAGCGCGAGTACAGCAGTCGCGTGTTCGCCGTAGGATTGTAGGTGTGCTGTAGCGGCGACGGCGACGACTCGGTCATTGGCGATCTCGATGAGTCGCCACTGTAACCGCTCTCCACCATCCTCGACGACGGCGACGACGACGACGACGTCGACTGTTCGCGATGCGCACCGATCAGCTTTCGTTGGCTCCGTTGTCTTGCGCGAGCAACTAATGCGCTGTCATCGCAGAGTGCAGAAGGGAGATCGGCCGGCGATCGGTCCACGCGACAGACTGCATCCCCCGAACGAAGCGATTCTGCTGCTCGCGCGCTGCACTTTCGCTGCTTTGGAGGGTTGGCGCCACGGACACTCGCACGCGCGCTCACGCGCTCGCACAGATATCCGATAGAGCGGGGATATTATGGGCGGAGCTTGGGCTCATACTTTTCTCTCTCCCCCTCTCCACGCGCTGCGAGATGTGCGGATGTGAATTAACGAGCGTTTGATTGTTATTGCGTTTTTTTTTTTTTTTTCGTTTATTTTTGTTTGAGTTTGTTTCGATGCTGTCCAAGAGTGAAGCTTGGCTTATTAGAAGGTACCTTTTCTTGGATATTCTTTCAGCCGTGACACAATCTTTTTTGGAAGAAGTGGGTTTCTTTATATAATGTCAACTTTTGTATTCATCGTAATTGAAAGATACCGAATAAGAAAAGCGGTGAAGGAAATATATTTAGAAAAGCAAAGCCAAAATTATTTCTAGTCTTACGTAATCTTTTGGACTTATTAATATGTTGTACTTGGGAAATTATAGTTTATCTCCTCTACATTTGTTTGAATACAGTCACTGACTTATTCCAAATTAATCTAGTGTAAATTTTATTCATTATTGTAACATATTGTAATCGTTATGCATTGTTTAATGACGTTGTTAATATTGACAGTAGAATTTTGTTCTTGCTGTGACAGACAGTCATATATCATGTATTATTTAACGAATGTTTTTGTTTCGTAATTTTTTAATTCTTTAAATATTGTCTTGATAATCATGCAATTTCTTATGATTATAACTATTTTTATGTTGATCGAATAATGATTTGATGAGGCTGGAAACCACACCAGTGAAACGTTATCAATGAATACGAAGCTGTATTGATTTACTTAAAAAACTTTTTTGGGGATCACTCTTACAACCTTTGATGGTAAATAAAATTTTATATTATAAAAATATATTATTAAAGGTTGATACCCGCCCATACGAAATCGCGCACATCTAACATCGATGCTTGTATAATAAATGGTATTCGTAAGAGTTTTATTTGGTGTTGAGTTTACGAGAGACGTAGCATCAGATTATCAGTCATCAACTAACGAGGATTACAAGAATGTAACCTAACAAAAATTTCACTGACATATTATATTTATTCAACATATTCATACGATTTTATATCGATTAACTATGTACATACTAGAGTTCTTCAATAGTTCTTCAATTCATCGTTAATTCGCACACAAATCTTCAAGCGAAACGATTAATCGCATAAGGCAAATTCTCATTGCTGACGATAACCATATACCATGAAAATCTTGTTTATCTTGTAACATCAATTACAAGGCGAACGTAAAAAAAAATAGAATTTTAAATAGCATCCGCCTGTCACATCTCTCCATCTCCGCGTGAGTGAAATTGCCGCGCGCTTCGGTCTCCATGCTCGTCCGCTCGTAATTGCGAGGAGAATAAAAGAGAGGCGAGAACGCCTCGTAAGCGCATCATAAAGGACGCGCGCGAGCCAGGTAGGACAGATATCAGCTTGGCGCGGTGCTGAAAAAGGTAGAGGGGAGAGCGAAGAAGGGGCGTGGTAGCGACCACGCCTATGTAACAGCGCGACAAGGCATCTTCGCCGTTTGTCACTGGAAGAGTGGGAGAGAGAGGAGAGAGAGAGAGAAAGAGAGAGAGAGAGAGATACGCACGCGTATATTCTCGACGGAGACACGCGTCGAACGAGGGACGCAAGCCGGCAACTCGGGAAAGCTCCGACCTGCCGAGCGAGACGGACGAAAGGGTAATACTCGGCGGGCGAGCTCGACGGAGACATGGCTGCCTCTGCGATTGCCTCTGCCTGCTGATTATCGGATGTGCGAATGTACGCGAACGCGGCGAGGCGCCCTCGTTCGGGTCCGATTTCTCGCGTACGCGCGCGCACCGCCGATCGGGCACTAATTGGCCAGGCTGTTTTTGCTCATCGACGAGTCAACGCGACGCCGAAAGCCTATCCGTCGCGCTCCTCGATTATTCCAATAGCGCGCCGATAACGCGTCAAAGCCGCATTACGGGCAGAAGGCGGGGGGGGGCACGCGTGGAGAGCACGGGGTTGGAGGCAGAATGGACAGCGAGTGCGCGCGCGCGTGTATCGAGGTTACCAAGTTTACTCTTACTTAGTGGGTTCGACGTTCAGGCTCCTCGGATCCGTCTCGCGTGTGTGCTTTCTTAGCTCGCCGAGGAAGCGTCGCGCGCTGCTCCGCCGCCATGCGCCCCGTGTGTTTGCCCATCGCTGACGGGCTAATGGCACCCGCTTTCTCGGACGCGCGATTTCGGTCTGCTCACGCCGCGACCGGGGGACCGTCCTCGATATTGGATTTGCACGCGGCCAACGAGCTGCGGCGCGACGATCGAGCTCGCGGCGATATTTTCACGACGTCGATCGATGCCTCATTATTATACGGCGAACGAAACGCCTCTGTCGGCGTACGACAATCCGCGGCCAATCGCCGAGGCAGACCGAGTATATCTCACGCACAATAAACCTCAAACACGCGTACTTGCTCGCCAGCTGTACGCCACGTCCGCACGTCCATAATACATTAACCATCAGAACGTCCATTGTGGCAGCGCGTATACACAGCCCGCTCCTAACTCCATCATAACTATACCCGAGCGTATACACGTGAATGTGGATCTGTTACGGGCGCAGTGCTGGGATTTTTTCCTCTCCCTTAATCCTAATCCGCGCGCACGTTAATCGCAAAGCGCGCTTGGAGATCCCCCTCCCCCCTCCCCCCTGCGCCGGCCCCTCTTTTGCACAAAGCAATGGCGCGCGACTCAATGGCTCATGCTTTTTGTCGTCGCGTGTGCGCGCAGATGCTGCGCGCGCTCTTCTCATTACTATCTGCTGCCCGCTTATTAGCCAGCGCTATGAATGCGTAATGAGCCTAACTGAGAAACGAGTTTTCGCTTTAAGGTTTTTTCTCATTACCGGATTTAGTGCCTCGCTGCTAATCCGTTGTTGCTTCTGGCAGGCTGGAGTTTTACCTTTATTTTCCGTTCACGCTGACCGCGCGTATCGACGTTATCGGCGATTTCGCCGGGTGCAGTGTCAATTACATTTATATCGTTTCCATTCCATCGACTGCCGACAAATGATGAGAAGACACCGGTCATTTTACAATTTTTGCTGGAAACTCTTAAAAATCGCGCGAGTCATCGCCATGGACAACGTATTATTTTTCATGCACGCATACCCTGCAACAAAAATGCTCGTACTCCGATAGATTTAATCCGGAGATATATGCATTGGACGAGCAATACACACTCGCACGTTTATCCTATTCAACGTGCTTTCCGGTAAATTTGGCGTAGAGAAAGAAATCAAATAATCCTCAATCTGAATAACAAATTATACGTTCGCTCCATACAAATTACGCCGCCACAAAGGAAAGAAAGAGAGCAATGGATATCCAATAAGAAAAAAAAAGAGAAAGAGGAGAACGCAATACGCGGCGCTAATAATAAACGATACATAAAGGTATATATACCGGATACGTATATACGTGTGTGTCGCGGGCATTACGCGAACGCGAGTCTCTATCCCGAATCTGGATTATCCTCGGTGCAGGATTAAGGCTCCTGGCGTAGATGTGTGATGTTTATCTCTGTATACCATGGCCCTATGCGAGTGCCTATTTCGTTCGTTGATTATGTATTTGCGCGATGTGAGTTGTCGCGCGTCAAATTTGCCATGTTTTTTCTCAGTTAGCAATTTTGTTATATTTTGGACAACTATGATTTTTCGTTTGTCAAAAAAGTTTATAATACAGAAAATCTTAAATATATGCAGCGGACAAAAAATAGTACAAATTAGTTGTATCCATATTTATAAAAAAAATTGCAAAGAAACTGCTAAGAAATTTGGAATTTGTATTCATGTGGTAATTATTTGTTATAATTGTTTTTCTAAAGAGTCAAGACACGTTTAAATGTAGAGAATTAAAAAAAATATATTGTTATTATTGATGTTGTTATAGTTATTATTGTTTCAAGAACAATGTTCACGTGGAACGTAGATATATATATATGACTCTAACATATATAGAATTATTACGAGAAAGTTAGTAATCATTTTCATAGAATTTCAAAATTAATTTCTGCGTCATAATCATTTATAACGATCCTTCTATAGAGTAGAAAGTTGTGACCCAGGATACTAATTATAATTGAACAAAGCTTTAATAATATTGAACTTTGATAGTATTCCAATTAGATAAATAAATTTTTGCTCTTTATGGTACGAAACAGAATGATCAATTAACCAAATCAATAATCATTGTTTTTGCATGAAAAGTAAAAAAATAAAAAGTCGAATTAAAATCATTTCCCGTCAGTGCCCACTTTAATAATATCAGTATCCATTTGTGACAGAGATGGAGCCGCGTTGGTGCGACATCAAAGAGGCTATTCGCCATATATACGCACGTCAGTGCGAACATCAGATCCCGTCCCTTCGGAAATCGTAATCGAAATTATGAGCGTGCTCCGCTCAGTGATGCGAATTTCGTTGTCGTCGTCGTCTCTCTCTCTCTCTCTCTCTCTCTCTCTCTGCGACTGTCCGTCTGTAATATTACCTCGATGCAATCACGCGCTCGCTTTCAATTTAATGACCTGTTAATGTTGATTATTCAATTATCGCCGGCAAAGCCGTTTCCAGTGTGTAATGTCAAGTATATTTCCCATGCTCGAATCGAATGGATTTTTATTTGCAGTTTGAGATATCAACGCGACGCCATGATTTTCGGATACAGCATTTTTAATTGAGCATCATTGACCCGGTTGAATATTCGTATTTGTATATTGAATGATTCGATAGAGTCTCAAGCGATAATCGCAAATATTAAATGTTTGAACGACACGATCGAAGTCTGCAAATATAAAAATATCAAACGAACCCCTTTTTGCCTCGCGCCCGCAGATGAAAAAAAAAAGAAGAAAAAAGAGAGAGAGAGAGAGAGAGAGAGACAGACGGC